GCTGGTGAAGGTATGGCAAGCCATGTTGCCATATAATTGGATCATCAGCCGTGCGTGTCGGCTGACGCAATCAACAGCCCGACACCGGCCTGACCCGCACATTAACCACTTTATTATGGCCCGGTCCTAATCCGGGTCGGGCCAGACTGGGTTACGGGTTTTGGTCAGAAATGACAGCTCTACTCCTCGGATTGTTTTTGTCCCCCATCGTGAAGTGAAGAAGGGGAATTGGAAATACCCTTCATCCATCCATGTTGTGTGCATAACTTAAAAAATCAGTGAGGTATCGACTTTCATTTTGTTGTTGAACTGCATCTAGGAATAAGAAAGGAACATTTCGAAAATTAGGTTACCACATTAAAACTCAAGCTAGGTGCTGCCATAAATATTTGTTTGTCTTGTGATGTGAATAAATTGAAAAATAAGTAATGTGCCAACTTCCATTTTTGTGTGTGTCTGCATCTTGGAGTAAGAAAAGTCACCAATGAAAATTGGTGTTAAAAATTGGGTAACCACAACAAAATCCTAGAAAGCCACCACCATGTACAGACCCTTTCCAAAAAATTTAAATATCATGGAAAAGTTGTTTAACTTCCATAATTCCATTCAAAAACTTAATCTTTAATAGATGATAGACTCAGGGTCTACAATTTAAACAATTTCAAGTATTTGTTTATTTTTACATAATTTGTACTTCCAGCTCATTCAATTCAATTCAAAAATACTTTATTAATCCCAGAGGGAAATCAAGTGTTGTCGTAGCTCATCATCCTGGTTTTATTCAAGAGTTGTTAGATGCTGATTGCTGTGGGAAGGAAGGATCTCCTGCAGCGAATACGAAGAATCTGGCCACAGATACTGATCTGTCCACCCAGATCCAGCTTGCTGTCAGATCCGGCTGGCCTCTCGGTCCTCCTGGGCAGCAGGGCTGCCCGAATGCCCACCAGAACTCCTCCCAGAGCGATGGCCACTCCTCCCAGCAGTCTGCCGAGCTCCTCGTCACTGCAGACAGCCAACTGGAGGTGTCGAGGAACGATTCTGTCGTTCCGCTGTCATGACCCATGTTTCCTGCTAGTTCCAGGATCTCAGTGGTCAGGCACTTGAGCGGAGCTGGCAGGTAGATGAGAAAGCGTCCACAGAACATCCTTTTCAACTCATTTGAGATTTGGGGCTGTAGTGGAGATATTATTTGAGCTTTTCTTAAACAGCTGCTGTTGGTTGTAGATAACTACCTTGTTGCCATGGTTACACATCATAACAAATGTCCAAAACTAAAAAAAGTTTCAGTAAAAATCCTTCCAGCTGCACAGCATCTGATACCAGAGGAAACGATCATCCAAAAAAAAGTGATTTACATCCAGAAAAAGAGGAATTAAAGTTTCCAAAAGCAAAATCTCAGAATGAAAGTAACAGAGCTGCTCCAACATGCAGCCACCTTGAGCGGCGCAATTCTAGAACAACATGAAACCCATTAAAACAGGAATTCAAAAAAATGAGAATACTGTGGAGATATCAGGCCAAATTTTGCAGGGCATGAATGTTTTAAACTGAGTGTGACACTAATCATCTACTAAACTCAAAGCACCTGCACAGGTTTCCCCAGGTGTCATTAAATTGATTCAGTTTGGTTCAATTGTCTCAGTTTGGTTCAATATGGGGAAGACTACAGACATAACAACTGACCAGAAGACCATCATTGATACCCTCCATAGGATGGGTAAGCCACAAAAGTTCACAGCTAAGGAGGCTGGCTGTTCACAGAGTGCTGTGTCCAAGCATAGCAATGGAAAGTCTAGTAGAAGGGCAAAATGTGGCAGGAGAAACTGCACCAGCAAAAGAGATGACCGTGGCCTTCAGTGGATTATCAAAGAAGATTCCAGAATCTGGCAGAGATCCAGAAAGAGTGGAATGAGGCGGGAATCACAGCTTCAAAAACCACCACATTCTGATGCATCCGGGGGATGGGCTACAACTGTCAGGTTCCTCGGTCCACTTTTCCGATGAAAGTAAAGTGTGGCTTTCATTCGGAAATCAAGGTCCAAGGGTTTGGAGGAAGAAGGGTGAGGAAAAGAACCCATACTGCTTGAGATCCAGTGTGAAATATCCACAGTCAGTCATGATTTGTGGTGCAATGCCCGATGCAGGTGTTGGTAAACTCTGCTTTATTGAATCTAAGGTCACTGCAACAGTCTACCAGAATGTTTTAGAGGACTTCATGATTCTTTCTGCTGAGGATCTGTATGGAGATGCAGATTTCATCTTCCAGCAGGACCAGGTCCCTGCCCATGCCGCCAGAAGCACCAAAACCTGGGTAGATGCCCATGCCACAGTGCTTGACTGGCCAGCCAACTTGCAGGACCTAAACCCCATTGAGAATCTACGGAGTATTCTCAAGCGGAAAATGAGGGGCACCAGACCCAACAACAAAGAAGAGCTGACAGCAAGCATCAAGGAAATCTGGGCTTCCATAACTCCCAGGCAATGCCACATGCTGATTGTCTCAATGCCATGTCACATCGAGACAGTGATTAAGACAAAGGGATTCCCAACCAAGTATTGAAGATTGACATATTGTTTTGAAAGTACCATATTTTGATTGAACATTTTTCAGTCAGGTCATCTGTATAGTATCTTTTTTTTGTGCTGAAACGTTTCGCCTTCGGTCCGAAAGGCTTCATCAGTCAAGGAAACACACAACAAAACTGATTCTTCTCCCAACAGCTTACTCCAAAATGGAACAAACCAGTTTTGTTTGTGATAAGATGGTCTCTTTGGTATGCCCCCTCCTCCATTCCTGGCCCGCTTCCTTGTTGACAGTCTTGTCAAACTGGTTGAAAACAACAAAGTCCATGCTCAATAATCCAGGTATACGATCCAACATTTTTCAGTCAGGTCAGGAAACTGTCCAGATGACCCGACTGAAAAATGTTGGATTGTATACGTGGATTATTGAGCAATGACTTTGTTCATATTTTGATTGATTTGTTGTGAGCCTAATTTCTTATTTTTTTCTGCAAAAACTGAGTAGTGTGCGCTGATGTCTTCACAGTATTGTAATTTTTTTTAAATCCTGTTCTCGTGGGTTTCATGAGCTGGAAGCCCAAATTATGTAAAAAAAACAAATAAATACATGAAACTGTTTAAATTGTGGGCCCTGAATCTATCATCTATTAAAGATTAACTTTATGAATGGAATTATGGAAGTTTCCATGATACATTTCCATGATATTCTAATCTTTTGGAAAGGGTCTGTTTATATACAGGTCCTTCTCAAAAAATTAGCATATTGTGATAAAGGTCATTATTTTCCATAATGTAATGATAAAAATGAAACTTTCATATATTTCAG